CCTGCTGCGGTCCATCGTAAGGTGAAGTAGACTATTGTCCCCGCCTGACCGAACTGACTAGACCTGCAGAAAGAGTTTCGTGACATGGTCTGTACGGTCGCTCGTGCTGCACCGTAGAGGTTGTACTTTGTCACAAGATATGTTCTTGCCGCTGTGCATAAAGTCGCTTCCAGCAGCGTACTAGCCGTGTTGCTGTGCATGGTATTTGAAACATACTGTAATATAGCTTATTTCTGAGCCACGCATGAACTGGATATTTTTATGGTCTTATGAAACAAACACGCTGGCCGCATGTGTCCTAAAAGTCAAATGCAGAAAAGTTTGTAAAAAAAAAGCAAAAAAAAAGTGGGGATTTCAGTTTTGCTGTTAGTTGTGAGCCACGTGGTCGAATGACTGATGTCTTAAACAAGCATCGACATATCAAAGGGCTTTCTCGGTGTTTGCAGTACAATGTAAACAAACACTTTGTGCCACCAGCGCTCCGCTTAGTAATATCAGTGCTTTTTTGAGGCATTCAGCATTTTTTTGCAATTGTTTATGCGGTGATAATGTCAGCTTTATGCTGCTTATGCCGGCAACACAATGCAGCTGTCAAGTGCCAATTTTTACGTTTAGGAATTAGAGGAATGAAATGAAACGATTCAGCCATTCCAGGAGTGGGAATGGGCCAAGTGTCCCCATTTCTTAGAGTTGAAAGGAATTGAATTATCGAAAACTCTAATACCCCGGAATGGAATTGGAATGGAATGGGGGTGCCCATTCCGCAACACTGGTTGACGCTGCGAAAGCCAGTTCTGCCGCCGGTAGAGACTAACACGACGTCAACCGTGATCCGATTTATCGCTGACCGTGTGAACGTGCCGCCACGGACTAGTGTTTTCATCACCGTCATAACCGACGCAGCCATGCACGGTGAAGCTCTTCCTGAAGGCAGCGTCCAACTGCTCCTTGAAAAAGGAATTGGCGTCACACAAGGCGCAATGGATCTCCAAGAAGTATGTACAACTGTTCTTGTGACACACTTCCGAAAGGAGCCGCACCACCTAACGAAGGGTAACACCATGGGCCAAGTCGAGGAGCTTCAGGCACCAGCCGTGGTCACCGCAATCTATGAGGAAACCTCGTCCTCACAGCAGAAGAGCACGTCGTCGCCGCAGCTCGACATCGACCCCGAGCTCCCAGCTCCTGAGTGCCAGCAACTGGTTGATCTCCTCGCCGAATACAGTGACTGTTTTGCCACGTCGAAAGTTCACAAAACACCAATGGCGAAACACTGCATTATTACCAACGACGACGCGCTCCCTGTCCCCCAGTCGCTGTATCGAGTCTCCTCAAAGGAAAGGAAGGTGATTGAAGATCAAGTCCAGAAAATGCTCTAAGACGACATCATTTAACCCTCAAGAAGTCCATGGGCGTCCCCAGTCGTCCTTGTAAAGAAGGACGGAACCCTGAGGTTCTGCGTGGACTATCATCGACTGAACGCTGTGACGAAGAAGGACGTCTATCCACTCCCCCGCATCGACGATACATTAGACCGACTGCGCCAGTCCCGATATTTTTCGTCGATGGACCTGAAACTGGCAGATTGAAGTCGACGAATGCAAGCGCGAGAAAATTGCCTTCGTCACTTCCGACGGACTGTACAAATTCAAAGTGATGCCGTTCGGACTTTATACAGCACCAGCCACCTTCCAGTGTGTAATGAACAATAGGATGGCAGGTCTGAAATGGCAGAGCTACCTCGTCCACCTGTACGATGTCGTGGTATTTTCACGAGATTTCGACAAACACCTGAGACAACTTCGAGCCGTGCTTCAAGCCATCAAGACCACCGGCCTGTCACTTAAGCCAACAAAGAGTCGGTTCGCCTATGGTGAACTAAAGTTCCTTGGCCCCGTCGTGTACAACAAAGGTGTTCTCCCTGACCCTGAGAAGACTCGTGCTGTAGCTGCATTTACGCCGCCGTCTGATAAGAAGGCCGAGAGAAGATTTTTCGGACTGTGCCTACTACAGACGGTTTGTTCAGGACTTCGCCAAGCTGTCCGCACCGCTGACGCACCTCACAAAGGACGCCGTAAAGTTTGAATGGACAGAAGAATACCAGCGGTCATTCAATGAGCTCAAACGAAGACTCCAGACGCCCACGATTCTTGGCCATTTCGGATGCCAGAACACCAGACCTTGCGCGGTACTAGTCCAAATGCAAGACGAGACAGAGCGAGTCATCGCATATGCGAGTCGGACGCTGTCTAAGGCGGAGAAGATCTGCTCAACGACTGAGAAAGAGTGCCCTACTGTCGTCCAGGCAATGAAAAAGTTCCGCCCATATTTGTATGGACGTCTTTTTCGCGTGACCACGAACCACCACTCGCTCTGCTGGCTCGCGAATCTGAAGGACGCCTCCGGACCCCTCGCCCGGTGGAGCCTACGACTGCAGGTGTTCGACATGACCGTGGTGTACAAGTTTGGCCAGAAGCACAATGATGCCGACTGCCTGTCAAGGGCCCCAGTCGAGGCCGGTCCTGCCTGCATCGAAGACGACGACGATGAGTGTTTCCTCGGCGCTCTGGAAGTCATCGACATGGCAGTACTCCAACTAGACGACCCCGAACTGCGAGCGCTCATCGAGCACCTTAAGGGACAGGTGAGTGCAGTTCCCCGTGCTTTTTTACGAATCCTACCTACCTTCTCTATACGGCAAGGGGTGCTGTACAAAAAGAACTTCGTCAAAAACAACACAGCATGGCTGTTGGTTATTCTTTCCAATCTTCGAGAAGAAATCTTCCAAGGATGCCATGACGACCCAATGACTGGACTCCTTGACTTCAGCAGGAAGCTCACCAGGATTCCAGAAAAGTACTACTGGCCGAGGCTACCGAAGACCGTTCACCTCTACACTCGATCATGTCACGAGTGTCAGCGACGCAAGAAACCGCCGACGAAGCCGTCAGGACTTCTGCATCTGATTTCTCCCCCATCCACGCCGTTCCGGTAGATCAGAATGGACTTACTTGGCCCTTTTCCGTCTGATGTAGTATTTAGAGGATAGAAGATCGACCACAGTATGGCCTAGCCGTGTCGTCAAATTTGGATAAAAAAATTCCTAGTAGGCGCTACGGGGTCGAAAAATGTCACTTTGGTAAATGGCGTCAAACCGAAACTAAACAGGAAAGAGCGCCAGTAAAGTTATTGTTCCGCCCTTCCGGGCATGCGATTCATCATTATCGCGGCGAGCCGGCCGCGATAATGGTGAATCTCATCTAAATCTAGATTTGACAGCACGGCTAGACCATCAACGATCCTCTAAATACATTATGTGCCCTCAAGTGAAAAATTAAAAAGTTAATTAAAACCTTTTAGTTAATTAACTATCTAATTACCTAATTTCACTTCTTTTCTAGAGGCCGCCATGGCCACTAACACTTCCCTAGGGCTCAAATTACTCTATCTCACGTTCCCTTTTTTTGAAAATTTGGTGCAGTTAAAAAACAACACCCTGTATAGAGACCTTATGGTGTATTCGTACGAGAGATCTTTATCCCCGGAGAAAACCGAGTATGTCATAGAGCTGAGAGAAGGAAACGGCACGAGAAAGAGGAGGCAGTGCAGAAAATCCAAGCGAGCAATCGCACGACGGAGCCGCATGTAGTTAAGTCGCCAAAGTCTTCCTTTTTGCAAACCTGTTGGCGACTTTCGGCGGCTCATTGAACAAAAAGCAGGAAAAAATAATAAAGAAAAGACGCCCCACACTTCAAGCCTGCTGGCAACTTTCGGGGGCTCATCGAACAAAAAGGCAGGCAAAAAATAATAAAGAAAAGGCACCCCACACTTGAAAGCTATTCATCATTATCCCTCCCCAAAAGCAGGGAGACGAAAGAGGGAGCCCGATTCCTCCGACGGATACCAACGGAACGGCGGATATTCTGTAAGCCTGTCACAGATTCGGGTCCCCGCGAGCATGCCGCAAGCTCGGGGGATCAGCAAACATCCGTGACGCGGAGCACGTGACCTCAAAACTCGATGACGTTTTATTCTTTTCCTTGAAAAGAAACTCCGTCATGCGAATACATCATTAGGACTATACTATGTTCAGTTGCACCCCCTCCACGATTGTCGACTTTTCAAAGCCAAACTCGGCTACAAGCACACCGCACCCGCTTAGCATCGTTGAAGGTCATGTCAAGCGATCAAGACAAAAGACAGTTCGCCATAGGAAAGATGGGAAGGTAGCAGCAGAGAGAAAAGGGTCAAAAACTTATGTACTCCAAATGACGGCACACCGTGGTTCCAATGACCACCAGTGGCAGCTGCAGATTGGGAAAAACGGTGTTGTTTCCTTTGTGATTACGCAGAGAAATCGCAATCGCGGTATTTCGGGGGAAGGTGGCACATTTTCTCTCATTTGTGCCAAGATAAACACTAAAAAATACAAACAGCAAATTCTTTCAACATTAAAATCATTGCACTGACCCTTTAAGTGTTTATCACATGATAGAAAGAAACATCGATACTAGCTCTACAGAAGGGGTAAGCTGAACACTACACCTCTTTTTCTAAAACCTTTCTTAGCAGAGTTGATTTCTTAATGTGAAATGTTCAGTAAAGATCATTGTTTGTTTTCTTTTAATAGTTGTTTGTTTTTAGCTGCCCTGAGGTGTTGCCGAGAAAACCCTTCTTTAAGGAGGTTGCAGGCAGCCGGTGGGAAGTGTGAGTGGCCCCGCCATGCGAAAGGAATATGTTTCCCTTTTGGAACGGAAGTTGGATACTGTGGCGAGGGTAGAAAGGAAGTTTGGTGGGGGAGGTCTCGAAGGTCGGTCGTGAACGTGCGTTGTCCAGCCGTAGAGTCTAAATAACTGTAATTGAGTGCTTGCCAACAAGTCCTAATTGTCTCACCGTCGGAATCACCAGCCACAATCGGGGAGAGGGCATTTCAACATCCGACTCTCAAAGGAGCTTTACCCATGCTGTCTGTTTGGATGAACCAAGACTGCCAAACTCACCCTTTGCCCCACTTGTCATACGCCTTGGCTCTTTCGGCCTCCTTAGCCGCGGCCTCTCTGGCACGGTCCGCCTTGGAGGTGTCTCGCAGCTTGACCACTTCCTGCGTTTTTTCCTGAAAAGAAAAAGAAACAAGAAAGAACTTTTACCGCCTCGTACGTCTAGCACATACCATTTCAGAGCAGAGCACGCTGCTCTTGTCCTGACAAGTCAGGAATGTACATGTACACTGCAAAGTGTTGAACGAATGCCAAACCATGATGAAAAGATAAATGGTAAAAGACATGGGGTGGGCAATTTTTCAGTGTTCAAAAAATTATAAAAAAGCAATCAAGAGCAATCTGCTCTGATCTCGAACAACACGGTAATGATACCGCAGAGAATGAGCACAGCAAACTTGCATTCCGTGGTGGTTTCCATACTTTACGAATATTACGACAAATAAATTTAGCAATCTATGCAAAAACATACTTTCAATGCGCTTAGTAATAGCTGCAACCTTTTTATGGGCAGCCCATGCGGCAGTGGCTGCTCAAGTCATACTCGTGTCAGCAGCCTTAGCTGTTCGGTAAGTGACACAAACTGCTATCTCACACAATATGCTCTCTATGACACAGTGGTGCACAAGATAAGGTGCATGCACCCATTCACACATGAGCAGCAGTTCTCTGTTTCAGCTATGACCATCGCTATGCTCAGTGTTTGGTAAAGTACACCTAAAGAGTACTTAAAGTACCCACAAGGTAAAGGAGAGGTCATGTGCTTCAAGTGAAATAGTAAGTACACTGGATGCAATGTACTTGAAGTGAAGTACTATAGATACAATGTACTTCAAAAGTAAACTGCAAGTTCTGTTTAAGGGGGGACACTACCTAGAAAAAAAAATTCAGCAAAAAAGGTAGATTTTGAAAAATGCCATATTTACATCCACTAACATCTGAAGAGTATCCCCAGAAAGCTTCTTTAGTTTACACTGCATAGTTATTTTTTTATTCATTATTTTCCATCCACCAGTGCTAAAGGAAACATAGAGGTTGGAGCACTTTGAATGTGTTTTTCTCCGTTTCACTTTATGGCATAAATTTCACTTTAGCAAAACTATTGTTTGGTAATAGGACGGAAGGAAAGACTCGCACATTGTTTTTCATAACTGGAATTTAATTGGCAATGCAAATGTGGCATTGTTCTTTTTTACTTTGTGGATGTCTTAAAGATGTGAAGATTTTGTCGGCAACATAAAGGCAAAAAAATTTGATTTTTCACCGCAATGTTAGCAATCAATCAATTACTTTTTGGAAATTTTGTTTTCATAGTTGCACTGTCCAAGCATCCTGCTGCGTTTCTAGTGAAGAAAAACATCCAGCATTACTTTAGTTTTCTAATGATAGTTTTCCTAAACAAAGTCAGTGAGCTCCCGATAAAAATGACTATAATTTATTTTACGATTCATGTATGCAGCTGAAATTTTGCACTGCATTCTGCCTTGCAACTGCCAGTATTCCATTCATATTAAGCCAAAGGTTCAAAAGTTGACCCTTTTGGGTAGTGCCCCCCTTAAGACAATCTTTCATGATTCTCTTTCAACCCCTATACGGTGATGTTTTAACTGGCATGCATTGCCTCAGCGGCAATCGGAGGGTGCATCACTTATTTTCCGAAATGGCGGCGAATAATAGATGATGTCAAGTGGCAACAAAGTACCGTAAAACTCCGTAAGAGAACCCACTCAAAGTGAAGAGATAAATGGTGAAAGAGATGAGGTGGGCTATCTTTACAGATAAGACAGCATAACTTTATCAAAAATGGATGATAAACACAGGGGCACTTGCTACAACCCATGTGACACGGGAACTGAAACTGCAGATCGCGGACAAGGCGAATTCATCTTTCACAATGCGATAAGCACGTGGGAATTCGCTACAAACTCCTGTGTCACGGGAAAGGATATCGCAGACTGCAAGTGCAGCAGATTCGTGTTTTACAGTAAGATAAACACGCGGAAAATGGCTACAAACTTTCGTGCCACGGGAACTGATATTGCATGCGAAGGCCACTGACAAAAAATTTGGGAATTGCATACGGACTCGCATGTCAGGGGAACCAGTGGTGTATCCAGGAATTTTCTTTTTTAGGGTGGGTGAGGGTCGAAGGCAAGAAGGATATAATAAAGTTTTATGTGTCGTGGGCAACTTTTCATGGACATACGTTTTGTCGACACTCCTTACGCGAATTGCACGCTGTATGGACATTTCGTTACGCGTGTATCGCTGGGGTGATACACGCGTTGAGTGGGAAAAACCAAAGATGAAGTGTGGTGTGCCGTTCAAGCACTGAGTGCATCAGTGGCTGACGCTTTGGGCTTCTGCGAGCAAGTGCTCAAGCTGTCGCCGTTCAAAGGTACAAATGCAACGGCAAAATTCATCAGAGTTTTTGGCCACTTGTTCGACGTCCTCAATTCTAGGAACTCGTTGGCAAGATCCGACAAGGCTGCCTTACGGAAGCAGAATGAAGCATGCTGGAGGGCATTCTTTTCTGAGGCTCGAGCATACATCAAAGGACTGAAAGACCCTTCAGGGCCCGTTTGTTCAAAGCGCTAACCGCGGCTAAAGTTAGCCGCAGTACCTAGGAGAGGGATTTTGAGATCACGTGACTGGGCTCGGTAGGGATGCGGGGAAACATGGCGGTGCCCTAGTGGGTGAGTGCCGGTCGCTTTGGAACTAATATGTCGTAGCTGCAATATCGGGCGCGTTAGTCAGCAACGAATGGTGCAGGAAGCTTTTGCTTTGCCTTACCTCACTTAAACCGCAAAGCATGGGCAATGACATCGCCGCATTTTTTAGATAGTGTTTCGATTCTGGGCATTTCTAAGCCTAAATGAATGCGATAATTGTCGGCATGGCAACGTCTTTGGAAAGCGGATTGTTGATAGCACACAAAAGCAGACAGCGTCCCGACAGACTTTTTTTCTAAATTATCCAAGCATCGCGAGGAGAACGCTGGAAGTGTAATTCTTCGGTTCACGCGCGCTGGCCTTCCTCTGATAAAAGATTTGAAGTAAAAAACCATAATAAGGCTTTAACGAACGCGCGTGCAAGGCAAAATTTGTTTTATACTTTCTGCTTTAGAACGGTTACTACTGCAGACGCTAGCACGTGCGACGCGTGCAGGTACAGTCGTAGCATGCACCTCGGTGCTTGGATAATTTGGAAAAAAGGTCTGTTGGGATACCGTCTGCTTTTGTGTTCGATCAACAATCCGCTTTCCAAAGACGTTGCTATGCCGACAATTATCGCGTTCATTTAGGCTTAGGAGTGCCCAGAATCTAAACACGATCTAAAAAATGCGGTGATGTTATTGCCCATGCTTCGCGGTTTAGGTGAGGTAAGGCAAAGCAAAAGCCTCCTTCACCATTCGTTGCTGACTAACGTGCCCGATATTGCAACCAAACCGACATATTAGTTCCAAAGCGAGCGGCGCTCACTCACTGGGGCACCGCCATGTTTCCCCGCACCCCTACCGAGCCAGTCACGTGATCTCAAAATCCCTCTCCTAGGTACTGCGGCTAACTTTAGCCGCGGTTAGTGCTTCGTGCAAACGGGCCCAGGACGTCCTATTTTGGAAGGGTTAAAGAAAACCGGCCTCACCGGTTTCTTGATCGGCATTACAAGTACCGAAAAACTGTTCATTGAGCTTGTCGGTCAGTAGCGCCTAAAGTACCTCCTAACACACAAGCTGGGCCAGGACCACGCTGAGAATTTCTTCGGGTACATTCAAGGACGGCGAGGGTTTAACAACCCTACGGCTGCGCAGTTCATGGCTTCGTACAGACGATTGTTGATTCAGACAGAAGTGAAGTCTTCCAACTCAGGAAATCGCTCTCAAGACATGGTATCAATCCTGACTGGACCTATTATTGTGCCTGAAGAAGTTGCAACCAGTACTCTTACCGACACCAGAAGGGCACCCATCATGCAGCCAGAAGACCATGATTACACATACCGCATTGACTGTCCTGAAAGTCTGTCCCCTAGTGTCACTTCTGTGGTGCCACACATTGTGGGCTTTGTTGTCCGCAAAGTTTGTTCAACTACAACATGCCAAGAGTGTATCGCAGCCCTGCATTCACAAGAGCTAGCACCTCTTATTAAGCAAAAAAACCGGGGTGGACTTGTTTCTCCATCACAAGATGTCGTCAGGCTGTGCGAAGCTGTCGAGAAAGGGCAGCGGTGGTTGCAGGCCGAGTGGGAAACCGTCAAAGCGGTGCAGCATAGGACCAAACAGCTGGTCTTAGAAGTGTTGAATGCACTGCCAGGGAAGATGGTTCTTGCAACTGGAACCACACCTTCTAAACTGCGATCCTCTAGACAACCACATTTAGAGCTTGTGTAAGAAGCTGGCTGAAGAGTATCTGAAGGTCAGAATTCACCACATGACAAACGAAAGGAACAGAGAAATAAACAAGGAAGGGTAAAGCCACTTCTGTCAAGGTTGATTATTTTCAGCCATCAGTAAAATAAACCTATCAATGTGACAGTTTTAACCAAGGCTTGGTTTTAACTCATCAATGTGATATTTTAAAGGGATTTTTAAAGTTTGTAATTGTCTCGCTGCTTATTATAGGCCAACTGAGTGCTAAGAAGCAACAAATAAATTATCATCACACAAGCTGTTTGTTGTTTGCACTGTTTTGTAACCGCCACTACCTTGATAGAATGCACGGCAAAGCGCGAACGCGGTTGCGGCGATATGCGGGTTCTTGCCCAAGGCAAGATGGCCGTCGCCCGCTTAGCCAAGCTTTGCCCCCTCCCATCTGTACGTATAGGCGGCCTCCAGTCCAGCAAAATTCTTTACATCCTCCTTGGGGGGGGGGGTGACCTGCTGCAAACTCGCTTGTCACACGTGTATTGGTACCTCAGATCGCACGGTTGATGTGAATCATGTCAGGCATTGGGCATTGCGTGATGTCTGACGGAAATTGGGGGGTGGGCGATATTTTGGAATTTTTACGTTACGGATATTTAGCCAGAGAAATGGGATAGGCAATTTCTCAGGGGAGGGTGCCCTTACGGGACTTTACTGTAGTTATTTTCCGAAATGGCACCAAATTCAAAAGTCCCTCCGACTTCTGGAATTGTCGCCTCTTGCACTGGCTTGGTGCACCCAAGGGGGTAAAAACATACTAGGAGTGAGCGTAATGTCAGCCCCGTAGCTTCTGCAAGCTATCATCTCGTGGAGGAGTGTCCTGTGAATGTGCAGGCAAGCGGTGATAATTTATCATAATGTGACACCTCAGACTGTGGTGTGGAAAAATTCAGGAATTTTCAAGTCGAAGGAAAAAACAAGACAGGAGAATGTTTCAGAAACATTGAGAAGCTCTTCCTTGTTATCTTTTTCTTTGAGCTGAAAGTTTCTTAATTTTTCTGCACCACAGTCTCGGGTGTTACGTCAGGCACGTAGCCAGGATTTTGTTTCGAGGGGGGCCCGCCCATGACGAAATGCTGTATGAGAGGGGGGAGAGGAGGTCCCAGCAAAATAGAAGATTTCGAGGGGGGCCCGGGCCCCATGGGCCTCCCCCCTCGCTACGTGCCTGTGTTACATTATGATTAGTCGTCCTCTCCCAATATTTTTAACTGCCTCACTTGTGCTGACCGAACGAGAAGCAGCAAGAGCTCAAAAAGACACGGGAAAGCCGCCCCTAGAACAAACGGAGCGATGTATTTTCTGCTCCCGTTTCTGCTGAATAGAATATCCTTCCCAGTATTTCTTCAGAATTGATGAAGCACCATTTTGTGATACAAATTCAATGAGACCAAATTTGGGGAATTTACCTTAATGCAGAAGTACTTCCCAACACTGGCTATGATGCAATTGCAGAAAAATGAATCATGTGTGGTTCCACCAGAAGCATAGCTAAGGTGACCACAGGCACAGGGCCCGTTTTGGCCAGGGCATTCAAATTTAAGAGGTTAATTTTGGCTGTCCTATCATTTTTTCATAATGAAGCCTCATGTCCAGCTTTCCTCGGAACGTGCTTTTGATATCAGCACAGAGTGAGTGGAAGAGAACAAAAAAATTCATACTCATTGACTTTTAAAAATAAACATACTATGGAAATGTTACCTGCCATAGAGCCAATTTAGAGCTCTTTTTTGGGTTCCACCTGCCAATATGTTTTGTTTGCACAGACATGTACCGGGGAATTTCGCATTCTACTATATTTGGCATGCTTCAGTTTTGCAGAGTTGGTGAGAAAAATACTTGTGTACTCAACTACTCAGCGAAAAACTCTGGAAAAGTGTGCGCTTTTACGGTGATGCGATAGTGGTAGAACTTTTTTGCTTTTTCCTTTTTGCCTCTCCCTCTCCCCATGACAACTTGTTTTCTACTGCAAGTATTATGGCCACCCTAGGCATAGCCCAGCATTTAACCTCCATTATTCTACTTAGTTTGGCATCCCAACATTGTTTTAATCTGGAATGTGGCAGCGAAAGAAAGTCTCATTGTACTTTGCATGAATGTGATAGGACGGTTGATGTTTCAGCATTTTTCAGCCTACCGGAGATGACAAAGACGCTAAGGAAGGAGTTAGCACCAGGCCACACATTATGAAGTGTAAAACAGCCTTTGTTAAAATAATCGTTGACAAAAACCCAAATTTATGCTTGTAAATGTACACACCCAATGGTTGTCAAAGAACCAAATATTGCAGGCAAGTGCCGACCACCAGGAATATCCACAATACCTCGTGGTTTTAGCTGAAGGTACCGTCACAAACAAATAAAATATCTTGCAGGTTCCCCTTTCTGACCCCACAATGGACAACGGTGATGCTGGTGCCGTCACCTTGGTTCTTATAAAATGTGGCAGCCACCCCCGTTGTATTGGTTTATGTCTAACGGGACGAGCATGCACAAAACCAGGACAGGCTCGTAGCAGACAGCATAAATGGCGAAAATTGATAACGCCCCTGTATTGCCACCTTTGCTGTGAGACATTCTGTGGGTGCACTTATTTCTTGCATCAATGCTACAAAGGGGAGCCTGTGTCGAGCCGGTTGGCACCCACTTGACATCAGTGATATTGCAAATGACAAGCGACCATATTCACTCATAGAGTATGCATAAAACTAGGAGCGAAATTTGAATATAAATCCAGTTGGTTTACCGGCTCCATCCGCTTCTTATCCGGACTGCTTCGTCCTCTGGTGGGCCTCCCATGTCCAGCCTCAGACTTGCGTCGCTTGGACCTCGGTGGAGACGGACTTTTCCCGGGGCTCTTTCTTCTTGCGGGAGAAAGATCGCTGCTCGAACCCCTTCTTTTCACTTTATCGGGTGACCTGCTCCTTGCCCCCGGACGAGGAGGCGAGAGGTCACTGTCGGAATCGCGTCGCCTTGCCAATGCTACGTCCTTCTGTGGCCGGTTCTCTCGTCGCGGAGAAAGATCGCTGTCGGAGCCTCTCGGGACGCTCTCAGGCCTCGCTCTATGTGGAGACAAGTCGCTGTCGGAGTCGTGCCTCTGGGGTGAAGGGACCCTTGCATGCTTTTTGGGCGACAAACGTGGTGACTGGGGCTCAACTTTCACTCGGATTCGTTTCTTTTCGGGTGACCCACGGGAATGGCGGTCCTCTCCTCTCCTAGTCGGGCGACTTGGTGACCCACTGCGCTCCGAACGGTGTCTGTCGCCCAGTCTGGGTCTTGTTCTCGTCGGAGACAGATCACTGTCAGAAGCGGCCATAGAAGACACGTGTCTAGCATCTTCGCTCCTGCCTTTGGATCTACTCTTGGTTTTTTCGTGATCTTCTGACGGTTCGGATTTTATTTTAACGGGTGGAGGGTCAGTGTGTCTCTCGTGCCGTACGTCCCTCTCCTGCAACGGATCATGGCGATGGGAACTCTCCTTCCTGTGTTTCCTTGTGTGAGACAATGGGTCGCCGCTCACGCCGTGCCTCGAAGATGTGTCCGCCGGCGAGTGGTTTCCACGATGCGATCGCTGCTTCTTTTCGGGGGACTTTTCGGATCGCCTTGTCTTCGACGGTGAGGATTTTTTTCTCGGGGGAGATGCGTCGCTATCCGAGTCATGTCTCCCCTTTCGAGGTGGCGAACGGTGGTCGGAGGGTGGGGTCCTTTTGCGAGCGTGCCCTTCCTTTTGCTGAGCCTTCAATGTCTTGGGAGACTTCCTGGACGTGTCAACAGTCACGGGCCTCTCCGGAGACAGATCACTGTCGGAATCGTGCCTAGTTCTGTGGGTAGACTTTCTGGGTGGAGATCCATCACTGTCTGTTCCCGAGCCAGCGCGCTGGACAGGAGACTTCGGCACGTCCCTCGATGAATCTTTAATATGAGCATGTACAAATTTCGGTTATGCTCCTAACAAGAATATATACAACCTCAAACTAAGGTCTTTGCTCCAACTCAATCAAATCTCCCCAGACCCCTAAATACTGTTCTCAGTTCCCTAAGCTTCGTAAATAATGTTATAGACTGCACACTTCTTCGATACACTTCCCAGCTTACTCCAAACAGATGCCATTTTCAGCGTTTGTGGGTAAGGTGCATGCTTCACTCGCTTTCCAGAGCGACAGACATGCACGACCTGGCCTGTAGAGATCGCACGCTGGGCTGAGTATTTATAAACACTGGAATGGTGTTGTCGTTCATACCTGCAGGGACGGCGCCAAGGGGAGGCGAGGGGTGGCGGGCGCCTCCCCTAAAATTTCTTCTGCCACCCCAAGATGAAGGTGCCTTGTACACAAATAATTGCCTATGACGTCGGCTTGAAAACCCAGTCTAACGAGTGTCCAGACTTTAGAGCCGTTCATGCCTTTTATTTTTTTTTTCTATTAACTTCCAGCCACTGGAAGTCGTACTGCGGGCGAGTAAGCTATCAAGCGCTTTAAAAAAAGCAGCTCCCCTTTGTGACGCCTGCTAGCTTTTCTCTCCGTATTCCGCTCTGTGGTGCTTTTCTTCAGCGGAGACCGGAGACGTGAACAAAGGGGAGCATGGGGAATTCTGGACTGTCCCAGAAAGGGAAGCAAAACCTGGTTGTGAGTCTGAGCACAGGGGGCAGAGGTCCCTGCTTTGATTACCCCCCCCCCCCCCCCCCCCCCCTTCCTTCTCGGGTCTCCACATTTCCCTTTTCAAAGAGCACACCGCACATAAGCTATCTTCGATAAGCCCGTGGGCGACAGCACCTCAGAGCGACCTCCCCCCCCCAATTTGGTTCGCCCCCCCATGGGCTCCCCCCATTATGAAGATCTTGGCGCCGTCCCTGCATACCCGCAGCACAGCTCACCTTTGCCCAGAGTTTTCCACTGGCCGGACGCGTACTGCTCGGCGACCCGGGCATGCAGCGGCCGGTCGTCGAGGACAGCGGCGACTACGGGAACGTCTTCGTCTTCTGGACTCCCTTCGCGAGAGTGGGCCGACGGGATATGCTTGAGGTCGACGTCGTCGTCCAAGATTCGCAACCTGAAGAAAACGTCGCACACGCCAGCGATCGTTATGGCCACTCACGCCACGGATTCGCGGTCGCGCCACGGATTCAACGGTCGCAGAATCAAGTTCCACGACTCAGGTTTCACTTTTCACCGGTACCGTCTCGACGTGATGTTGTTGACGTCGACGTGGTGCGGCGGCGTCAACACAGCGAACATTGACGCTACGGCGGCAAACACTTGGAATCGAAACGGACGGAACGGACACTGAATCTCCGTTGTAAAACTGCGACTATTTCTTTCAAGCTACACTACCTGACAGCCATCTGGCATTCGAACACACGCGGAAGGTCAAAGGCACTCCAAGATTATTGACTCCGATCAGAGTTCCCGGGGTTAATCTTTGAACCACTTACCTGCCGAGAGTTTGATTGATTTTATCAGTATTATACGATCAGCACATGTTACCTTTGAACGGCTGAAGCTTTCGGTCGTTTCTTTTTTTTCTTTTCTTTCCCGGACATGTATTTCTCCAAATATTTAAGTTTGTCGACGCTTTTCCTGGGACCAACGACTTCGTCCGAGGACGCCATGTCGGCAACGCTTCTCTCGCTTGTTTACAGTTTGTCTTTCTTTCTCTTTCTTTCATTCTTTCTCTTTTTTTCGCTCTAACCTTCTCTCTTTCCCTTTCTTTTTTTCTTTTTTTGTGGTTCGGACAACTGATGGTAGATGGAGGCACTGTGCAATCATATCTGGCTACTGCATAGTGTGTAGGTCTAGGCCCGGGAAAATTAAATCAACAAGTGCCTGTACTAAATCCTCTAAAAAGAGAGGTCATGTTCTATTACTTTGCGTCCGACTTTTCGTATGCATGTCTGTAAAGTAAGAAATTCGTCTTCCTTGATATCCATCCGGGCTGGGCACAGGTATTCAAAGATGTTTCAGGAATACAAATACTAAACTCTCGAAATAAATTAAAAAAAAAAAAAAAAAAACTGAAGAAAAGAAAAAGCAATATTGCAAATTTAATATACAGGGTGCGGCCGTAAAAACTTTCACATTTGGCACGCCCAGCAAAAATCGAATTTCAAACATACATACCTGAAATTGGGCACACGAACGTCGTTTATTCCGAAGTTTTTTGCCTATTTTTTTCAGACGTCAACTCTGGAGTAGCAAATTATTAGAAACAAAACAAAAACGGCAGACGTGCATTTCCTATGGCCTATACCCGCCCGCTCGCCGTCTGCTATCTGGTTCGCGACGCCGCTCCCAGGTGGCGCACTGAACGCAAAAACGCGGAAAACGCCGCACGAAAGGCTGGTGTCGGGCGATATAATCGCTATAAAAAGTGATTTGAACGAAATATATGAACGATTGTTGAAATTACCTGTTTCAAGTCAAGTTCTGACAGATCGTCATGCACGCAAGAAGACACCATGATGCGACGAGATCATTTATTTACAGCTGCTCGTCATGTTGACAATTGCGAGTCGCTCTCGAAGACAGCAAGCACCGCTTCAATGAGCTCCTCATTTTTCAGCAGGCTCTCACGTTCACTGACTGGATTCTTCTTTTTAAAGTCTTCTCCACTCACAAAACGATCCGCCCAACTCAAAACAGTCGGGCGTGAAGGCGGGCGTTTATGAAATGCAGTGCGAAATTTTCGTTGTGCTGTGGCCACCGAGTTCCGCTCCACGTACCACTTGACTGCCTGGGCACACTAACTTACCGAGTATTGCGGCATCGCAGGGCGGCGCGGAAAATATTTTGACAATAACTGCAGAAGATAGTGCAACAAAAACAATAAATAGGAACAATCAAGATGCCACAGCAGCGGCACTCTTGATTCCAAAGTTGAGCTTTCACCGGGAACGGACCCGTCAACAGATAAGCAGACGACAAAGGAAGACACACGCTCGTCTGCTTTAGAACATACTTTTATTAAACGAGGGCGTCCGCCAGTTTTTAAATTTCAAGTAAAAGGGCATAATCGTTCACATATTTCGGTAAAATCACTTTTTATCGCGATTACCTCGCCCGACACTAGCCTTTCGTGCGGCGTTTCCCGCGTTTTTGCGTTCAGTGTGCCATCTGGGAGCGGCGTCGCGAATTAGACAGCAGACGGCGAACGGGCGGGTATAGGCCACTGATCTCTATGTCTATTTGCTGGATCGCGTTTGACCAGCTCCTCCTATGGACCGGAATGCGGTCACTGGCGGCCATCTTTAGGTAGAGTTATATCATCTCTAGCCATCATAGTAATATGGCGGACAGCGCAATGGCGGCAGGCTGCCATAAAAATAGCCGTAGATCTAGTACACTGTACCGTGGGTGACATTTCGTGCTTGATTGAAGTTGTTCGACGAAGCAGATTCTTGAAACCCGGCGTGAACGGTAGCCTCATCTTTGAGGACCCGGCAAAAGTTCTACGAAAGCGCAGCACCGGGGGAAAGCAGCGCAGCTCGCATCAAAAGCAGACTCCGTACCGTCGTCTGCTTTCGATGCTTCTTTCGATGCGACTTACGATACGTGCTGTGCTGCGTTTCTCCCGATGCTGCGATTTCGTGAAACTTTTACCAGGTCCTCAAAAACTGGACTACTGTTCACGCCGGGTTTCAAAAACATGTTTCGTCAAATAATTTTAATCAAGCACGCAATATCACCCACGCTATTTTGACCGCAGCCTGCCAACCCACCTGCCAAAACGCTATCTGCCATGGATGCATGATAGCGGCTGCAGCAGCTTACATTGGCTAGAGGTGATATAACTCTACCTAAAGATGGCCGCCAGTGACCGCATTCGCGGAGCGGGCAAACGCGATCCAGCAATTGTCATAGAGATCAGTGGTATAGGCCATTGGAAATGCACGTCTGCTATTTTTGTTATCTTTCTAATAATTCGCTACTCCAGAGTTGACGTCTAAAAAAAAGAGGCAAAAAACTTAGAAATAAACGACGTTCGTGTGCCCAATTTCAGGTATGTATGTTTGAAATTCGTTTTTTGCTAGGCGTGCCAAATGTGAAAGTTTTTACGGCCGCACCCTGTATGTATACCCGTTCCTGTACAATAGGTTTTTTTTTTTATTTTGAACATGTAAGGAAGGGTAAAAACACAGGCAAGCTCATTGAGATCAGTGGGCAAACTGGTGAAGAACCTCCATGGTAACTGGAGGCACGGAACGACAAAAATAACGTAAAAAACACAACGTCTCAAACGCAGCTTCTAGTTTATTTAAACAACAAGCGCTTTTTTAAACCCCGACCTCGAAACCCCGAAGATTCACATACAAAACTTGAAAGTATAAAACAGAGAGGACGAGGACGGGAACAGGACATCTTTCCTGTTCCCGTCCTCGTCCTCTCTATTTTATACTTTCAAGTTTTGTATCTATTAACCAACACGCACGTTTTCAATTGTAACCGAAGATTCATGTCATGCCGCCTCTATCCTTTCACACTAACCAGCCACCCTGACAACCTTGTATGAGAGCCACATGCCTTGGCCACATGCGATAACAGGCAACCCAAGCACAACCCTTACTAATCTTGGAAAACACTCAAAACAAGATCTGAAAGGGATACTACAACGAAATTTCAGCGCTTATTTTATGGTCTATATGTGTTCAAAGGAGCAGTATCACATCGGACACACCAATATCTTGTTAAAAAAGACACGAAAAGGAATTTTAAAACGAATTAAACGATTAGCAAAGAGCACCTGGTGGATGTCGCTAACGCCTCGTTTCGAATGCCCGTCTAAACACCTTGAGAGGTAAGGCGCGTTCTCACCGGCGACAACTTTTCTTGGCAATGCAGTGGAAGGTACAGGCACGCGTTCCCTCTCTCATTTTGAGCGCAGCAAAGGTGTTGGCTGTGCGCGGGCTCTCCTCCTGTTTCTATTTCCGGGGAGAGGAGGAGAGCCCGCGCGCACTCAAAATGGGAGAGCGAGCGCAGGCCTGTACCTTCCACTGCATCGCCAAGAAAAGTTGCCGCGGAGTATTAGCGGCGAGTTGTTTTGGTGGCGCCCTCCCATGGTTCCTTCTCGTGACGTCATTACCTTGCGAACAACAAGTTCCATGGTGTTCGTAATGAGCATGGTGGAAGCTTGAAATCATATCGCTCTTAAACCAACGCTGCCAACACCGCCCAAATTGAACTTCTTCCATTCCTCTTAATTCCGTCGAAGAGAAATCCTTTCCTGACGTCATAGTCAGTACTGGTCCAATCGTGGAAGACCGATCACAGCGACGCTTTCGATCGCGCACGTCACCAATAGTCGCGCGATAACTTTCATCGCAAAAGCGACCATCGCGGGCAAAAAGCGACGCGATTTGAGCAGTCGCTTCTCGACCCGACTTTTTGCGATGCGATCTAGTCGCGGAGCGGCTGAGCCAATCAACGGCGTTTGGAGCGATCGAGTGTTTTCGAGAAACGACTCGCCAACGAAGGCGTTGGACTCGCTCATCGCACACGCCGGTGTGACCATCTTATTTTTTTTTTGCGATGCGATCCAGTCGCATCGCGCGACTGCTTATATCGCCGGTGGGAATGCTCAGTTTGTGATGGTTATTGTCTCGCCTCCGGCCACGACGAAAGAAGAGAAGGAGGAACTCCCCTCTTCACGAGAATCCCTTTTGTGTGACCCAGAAGTCGCTATTGTCCCTCTACAAGATCATAGAAGATTAACCTGTCACTCAAAATTCGTACAAAAGCAGCCACTTCGGTGGGTGGAACGACTAGGCCATCCTCTCGACGTCAGCCTCGCTGTAGCTGCTCGTCCCGAGACGAGCTACGTCACGATTGCGTCGGATGTCACGTGCTCTAAGCTGGGCAAGCTGGGCCTTCTCCGAGCGCTTGCCAGAGTCAGAGCCTTTTATGTGGGCCGTTTATAACAAAAAAATACAGCCACCAGGCTTAAAATACAAACGTGCGATTGTCATTTACGGATATTGTGGATCATGTTAAACTTATTTTTGAACACGACGGATATATTTCAAATTTCGGTGAAGTAACCACTAAAAGACGCAAAAACGCTTCATATCACTATCCAAAGCCAAGGACTTCTTACTAGGGTGCCTATGGGTGCCTACATGTCTGTCTGTCTCAGGGTGAAGACATCCATTGTTGCACTGAATGTGCCAGCGCGTGACACTCCCGCGCACTCGGTGCGTGACTCGGGTAGTAAAATGGCGTCTATGCATTAGCCAAAGCTGCGCGCTCGAGCTGAGTAACACCGTATTGCGCGCACTTCAAAATGCATAAAAAAAAACGACTGGGCGTGAAAATGGCTGAGATGTCACCACTCAAGCAAAAGCGCGCGTGTGTATGAAGGCACTCTACTTCTTACAAAATGGAAGCGCCCCATCGCGGCGATATACCACGCAGTGCATTCTGGGACTGGTTGGCCACTCAGTTTCGGTTTCGATTGAGCAGCTTCATTCTACTGGGTGTATCAAGGAGCGGCCAGTTTCTTTAAATCGACCGCTAAATTCGGTTTCATAACCTATCGCGTTCAGATTTTGTACAGCATTGGCCACAGGCAATGCATTTTTTCTATTAAATTCGCAAAGAGCGAGCTTACCTGAGGAAAAAGTAAAAAAAAGAAAAATGCTTAGCTC